GGTCAAGCCCACAAAATTCTTTCCATCAAGCACTTGTCCACCAGAGCCCATGGTGTAGTGGTTGAAACAAAGTTGATAATGGAGTATCCTGCATGTCAGCTGCTGACTGTTACCTGAGTGTTTCCTGAAGTGTTAGGGTATTAGAAAAACAACTCTCAAAAGTTGGGAAAACAACTCCGGAATTATGGGGGATGTCCCAAGGACCATCTCTTAACAGTCCTGGGACCTTCCTGGGATTCATCTTCCCAATTAACCCAAGGAGAATGGGAACCCTTGGTTGATTTTGGGGGCTTGGAAAAATGACTCCCGTTTTTTTGCCAACAACTCCCAACAACCTTCAGCGGATGTTGTAGTATGCCAATTGTGTCTCAAGTATCAAATTTAATAAATTCATAGTCCAATATGTAGAAGGGCATATATTCTTAGGTGTATTAGGGCATAATCACATTCTACGGTTCACTTAACCCATAGTCACTCACTGAAACCACTAGGCTAGCTCCACTCAGTCAAAAGCTATTTGGCATTTAAATTTTATTTGCATACAAAATGCTTATTGCATACTGTAAACCACAAGTTGGCCTTAGTTTTTTAACATATTCAATATTCATTGCATAGTGTAATTTTGTATTGTCAGCCTACGTGATGCCAAGATATAAAATCTTCTAGCTACACGTGGTGCAAAAGTAAACAAAAGCTTAAAGGTTTTTGGTTTTAATTTTAAAGGAATAAATTCCAATAAAAAGAAAGGAATTTATGGGAGTTTTTTAGGAAAAAGTGGCCAATTTATATTAATAAAATTAATATAAATTAAACCTGAGGGGCCTGATAAATCAGGGGTGGTTAGATCCCTCAAAGGTATCGTGCAAAAAGCAGAGGATTTAGGTACCTGGTACACTGGGGCCTGTAAACAGGGGTGGTTTAAATCCCAGTAAGAAATAATAGGGAAAATCTCAAGAAAAGGGTTATTACTCACTAGTAATAATCCTGTAGGGTCTTGAGGATCTTCAGAGTAGAAACTGGGCAGTTGGAAGCGCTCAAAAAGGTGGATTTTGGGTACTGGGTGATCACTGGGGAGTTTCTTGAGGGTTCTTGAGGCTTAATAATAGCAATTTATAGTAGTAACTAGGCTAATTACAAGTGTAGGGGACTTGTAAATGGTAAGTAAATTTCTATAAGGTATTGTAAAGCTGGGGGATCATTATTTGAGCGGTCAGAAGGCCCTTTAAATACCTGTGGAAGGCCTCAGGGGTTGCTCAGGGGAGCCTAGTAGGTCTTGGGAGCGCTTTTGGGCCCATTTTAGCCCACATGGTGACGCAACAAGGGCTGAAACCTTGGGGATAATATTCTAGAAGCTCCAAGGGGTCATGCAAGAATTTATTTGAACCAAGAATATCCTTTAGAAGCCTGTGGGTAGGGGTTAGTATGTTACGTGGAGCTATTTCCTTGGAAATGGGCCACAGAATGTGCCAGAACTTATTTCTAGGGCTTTTTACACGTGCTACAAACTGGAATATGGAATATCCAGAGTTACTGTAGTAATTTAATGAATATTCTAGCTTGTTTATATTTTTATTACATGTGTGGGGGCTTTGTTGACACGTGCACAGTGAGTTTCTGGGGCTTTGTGGCCCATTTCCTTGGATACTGGTAACCCAGAGGGGGTTATGCATGTATCCAAGGCGGGTAGGCATACCTAGCACGCGCTGGGGCTTAAGCCTTGGGCTCAATTGTAGTCAGGCGCGCCTGTCAACAGTGCGCAGCGTGACTGCGCGGCGCGCGGGCTTGGAGACAGTACACGCCACGCTGGTCTATCTTCCAAACTATACACAACACTCCAAATCTGAGACAAGATTTGGAGTATATGCATATTGTTATGTATAATGCATGATTATTCAGGTGCCCGTGATCCATGGGTACCTGTTAATTCTTTAAGTGATTATTACAGGATGAAGGGGTTACAATTAGGGGTACCTTTGGCTGAGGTACCCTAGGTTAAATTGTACGTAGATTCAGAATTTGTAATAATAATTAAAGTTTTCTCTATTCTTTCTAAGTTATTTATATATTTCAAGTGTTTTTATGTTGTTTACATAAGTAAATTAGTTTCTTTTACTTATGTAATATTTTTACTTTATTCTTAGATTTTTTTATGTAATTTTATTTTTATTTTGCTTATGACAGGTTGTCTCTGCCATAGTAGCAAGCTGACATGTATAGTAGCAAATCCACAATTTGGTCAGATTTTAGATGCATATTCATTATAGGTTAGGGCTAGAACCACAAGTTGGCCATTTATAGATTATTGGTTAGGGCTAGAACCACAAGTCAGCCGGGTTGTAAAATAGACTATTTAAGGAGGGGCTTTCCCCCCTCATTCCAATTTTTATCATATCATCTGATCACCAACCAGACAGAACAGAGCAATCAATCCATACATTAACAAGAGTGATCTTAATCAAGTGCCCCTTTGAGATCATTCAGACCTTGAGAAGCAGAGAAAAAGGAAAGTAACAACCAGTACAATGTGTGCTCTTAAAACAAGAGAAAGTGATCTTAAAGACTGTGCTCTCTGCCAAGATCAAGGAAGAAGGGAAAGACACTTTCAATAGTCACATTTTTTCCTCAGTATCATCTCATAAATTCTCATTCATTATCAGTACATCTCAACAATTCCACTCCAAATAGTCTGCTGAATCCACATTGATCTAGGTCTGATAAGAGACTGCTACACATAGTTGTCTCCATCATCAGTTTTGGCCACAACAATAAATAAAATTGTTGTGTTAACTCTTGTGTAGTAAATTAGAGGGGCAGGTCTTTCAAACCAGCCGTAAAAGTTGTAGTAACTCAGTACATATGAGAAATACCTCATCTGCTATTTCCCCCTCACAGTACTGCCACCATTCCCAAAGGAGTTCTCACAATGTCCTTTGGGAGTTTTTGTCTAAAGTGAGGGCGGATTCTGGGAGTTGTCCTCCCAATTTCTCTTTTATTTTATTTTTATTTTATTATCATTTTTTTGGGGGGGAGTCAAATCCCCAAACCACCCCTCATGTATGAGGGGGTTTTCGAGTTGCTCCCACTTGACTGGAAGGAACCCCTTCTGGTTCCCGCACCTTGGACCATCTACAAGCCAACGTCAAGGCCCTAATGTGTGTGACAGCCAAACATACTTTGCGCACAGAGATTCTTTTCAAGCAAAGCATTAGTTTGAAAGTGTTGTTCTTTCAATCAAACAAGAGGGTACACCCCCCCCTCCAATGCTCCGTACCTTGAAGCAATTGGCAAATGATTTCAATTAATTATCAAGGATAAGGATACCACCCCCACCCTCACATCCCTGCCACATCTCTTTCAATCCGCTACAGGTCTTGGTGAACTTACACCGCCATCTTGGCACAGGGAATCAAATTGAAATTTTTGCAGGGAAGACAATGGACAAGTTGGTACTTGATTAACAAAGATGTGTTGGGTTACATTCACCTCACCAGAGTTTCATAGCCAAGCCTGTCTTCCCATTGCATAGCAAACTCAAATCACCACAGATTTCTTCCACCCACCCCCCAAACAAAATCTCCTCATTCAAATTTCCACCTCCCCTTTCCTTATTATCTCTTTGATATTTCCTTTCATTCAAAATTACAGTTCCCTGCCTTTGAATTTTTATTTCCTTTCTTCAACTTCTTCCTCTCACAATTTTTCATAGGAGGGTTGAATGTGAAGTTCCCCATGACTCAGTTCACAATGTAGACTATCATAGATCAGATAATCCACAATATCAATTCATCTCTCAACAGTCTTATCCTAGCTCAGTAGAGACCACTTACCCATTCCGACCTGAGCGTGGTAAGCCAAATTTTCCCACATCTCTAACTCTTTCTTCATTCCTCTTTCCATTTCTTATTCATCCTTAAGTTGTGCTAAATAGAAACCACCAAGATATTCCTCTCCATCATATTTCTATACATTACAATCCAAGACCCACATTGGTTCTAGAAATTTTACCAAGGCCTCCAGGTTCCAGGCCCTGTCACATCTTTTTTGATGCCAGTTCACCCAATTCTGATATTCATGTGGAAAGTATATCAAGGGGGGGGGGCTCAAGATTGGAATTTATGAAATGTCAAAGCCAAATTGATGAATTAATCAAGAAGATTCTAGAAATTTGAAATCCTCAACAAAATTTGAGATTTCTGAAGATCATTTGAAATTTTTCATTTTTCAGAATGTTTTGAATACATTAAAATTTGCTTAGGATTGTAAAAATTTCACTTGCAAGCCCCCCTATTTGAATGACCCCTCAAAGCTTTTATTGGGTCAATTTATTTAATTAATTAACAAAAAATTCATAATCAGTTATCTGGTCTTAATTGATTGGATTGGCAGGGTTCACAATAAGCATTTTGCTTCCTGAAACCGGCTTAAATTCTTCCTGGATTAGGAAATTCAGAGCTTAATTTTAGACTGAAGCTAAGCTCAGAATTGCCACTCAGGAGCCTCTAAGGCTTCCAGAGATCCGGAAGCTCTGAGGGTTCCTGAGCAAAAATTGACACTTGAACTTTGCAAAACAAAATTTAGTGCTCACAAATATGGAGGCTCTTAAATATCTTCCTCACAAAGTCTTATTGTGGAACCTGCCGGTGCTATTGGGTATAATTTCTTTTATTGGACACTTCAGATTGCTGTTGAATTTTCTTAACAAGTCAACTACAATGGTTTATTTATATATTACCAATGCTCAGCAAATATTGTATAAATACACGTTTGAAAAAAGCACACATAACAAGATACAGATCAGATACATGCATGGCTTTTGTCTCCTTTTTCTTAAACAAATAGGGCTGGAAGTAGTAACTTGAGGGTTCTACCACATATACACAAGTGTTATCAAGAATCAAAACATTTGAAAATGTTCAAGTGTGATTAAGACTATAGATGATATATTCAAGAATATGGAACTTTTCAGATCAATACTAATAGGAAGAAAAGAAATGTGAATATTAAGCCATTTTCTTTTCATTGGGGTTTTCAGCTTTAGGAGGAGGAGGAGCGATTTGGACGGAGTCGGGGATCTGTTGATCCTCGAAGGCAGCCCCACAAATCTCGCTGATCTGATGAACCGTAGAAGAGGAGTCATAATTGAAAGTGATTCCAACTGGGTCCTTCCGAATCGCGTCAATCATTGTTGCCGATTTGGTGACGATCGCATGTCCACATGGGGTGCAATAGGTTTCCTTTTGATGTGGAGATGAGATACGAAAAAAAGTAATTGATTTATCAGTCTGGCTGTTTTGATTTCGATCAGATGCAAAATTTTGACGTACCTTTGGAACAGACATGAACGCTAGGTCCGCCTTAGTAAGTTTTCCGGAGATCAAGGAAACTACTTCTCCCAGTGTGATCTTTTGGCCGCTTTGAGATTCAACATCACCCAAGACCGAAGGGAGACAGTAGGTGGAGTTTTCTTTGTATTGAGTGCAAAACATATCCCTGAAGGATCGTGAAGATGACCGGATGGAAAAAAAGAAGGAGTCAATTGGAGTTCAAGAAAAAAAAACAAGATCCAAGCCTCTTCAGCTTACCTGGTGACATCGTAATGTGTCAGAATACTATACATAGTCACTGCCGCAATTGACCCTTCTTGCAGGTCGCTTGCACAACCAGTCTTGATCATCTGACTAGCTTTAGCCAAACCCTGCTGAGAACACGGCTGTGAAGAGCAAGCTCCCGAGACCCAAGTCTGATAAAGAAAGGAACAAGTTAAACTCATCGTTTCGTTCAAAAAAACGGAAGTGCTCTACTTACGTTGATGGGTGAGACAAGGGATTCGTTGGCTTGAAAGATCGAGACCAGTCCGAGAATATCAGCGCAAGTTCCGAACTCGCCGTCCAACAAGCCAGAAGCAGCGAGTTGGCAAGATGGGGAGAGTTTAGCGGCACTCCGGGCCAAAGACAAGCCGTGTGGAGCTGGTGTCATGTTGGAGGACCGTGGACGGTTGGCTGGATTGCCGTACGGATGCGCGTTGACCGTGTTTTGGAAACTCATCAAACACATCAGCATAGAGATGAATTGGATAGAGAATGCCATCGTGGAAATCTTGTGTTTTTTGCAGTCAAAGATGTTCGTTAACTCGTGCTTGCGTTTTAGGTTGGTTGGATAGACTGTTTCAATTAAACTGTTGTAGCTATGTGAGTTTATTGAACTAAAAGAAAAAACCGTAGTAAGATTCTGCTTGAAGGAAAAACTCAAAGACTGGGTTGAAGCTTGCTATCTAAGTAAAGTTGTTGTTTCCTGGGAAGAAGGGACTAAGTATAAAATAGGAGGATGGGCAAGGCAATCCCAGTTGCAGCGGATTATGGGTTGACTCGAAAAACAAAGACACAGAAACAAATTTTGAAGAGCTTTTACGTGATTGAGAAGGCGAGTTGAAAGTAGATGAGATTATAGCACACAAGGATATACAAGATGGAGGAGTTGAGTGAGAAAAAGAATCGAAGACTTGATGAGAGTTGGTCCATTTTATATCCACACAAGAATAACATTGAGAGACAGAGGAAAGCAAGCAACAAGCAAGTGGTTACAAAGCTGAATCGAAGAAGGGCGGGCAAAGGAGGACATGGCATGACACTATGGACAAGGAAGTTGTTGTTACTTGCTTGGCAATTAGAGCAAACCAGGCATCGAACAACCGCGAGTCGTTCCCCCATGAGAGAATATACCAGGAATAATAAAAATAATAATAACAAGACTTGTCGAGGCATCTGAATATGTAGTTGGAAGTGACACCACGGGTGCACCCATTGGTTCCTGAGTCGTTCTCAAGAACCATTGGAGTTTTTTATCTGTGATCAGTTGCACCTTCCATGCGTGCTGTCCATCGGGTCTGTCATTAGGGTCCACTACTGCAAGATTATTATAGTATGCAATGACCTTTAATACATGCTAAGTTGCACTCAAAACCTGAAGCCTACCCTGCACTTGTATGCAATGAGCCTTAATACCCATAAACACTAATATTAGAGTCCCGCAAATATCCTTCAAATACCTTGGAGGTGTACTTTCAAGTCCCGAGGTATGATCAACCCCAACTTCCAAGCAATAGCACCCCGCAAAATGAAAAAGGTTACGAGTGTCTTTGCAGGAGTCGGACTTCCTGAGCTGACTGGGTTGTTATTGCAATTGCGATCTATTGTGACCCAATCGGTCTTGTCTCTAGTGGGGATTCCAACAGCTGGTCGCCGAGCATTCTTCCCCGGCAAATGCTAGGTGGCGGAGGGCGAGGAGGCATGCCCCTTGGCATTACACTACAGGCTACCCGGCGAGCGATATGCTATACGCAATGACTAAATCCTCCAGATCCGGTGAAACATGGAAGCTGAAGGCTGAAATCGTGCAGAAAACTCATAATTGAACCATTTATCCTTTGTCGGCTAAGGCTGTTGTCAATCACACGTTCTGGATGACACGTGGCTTGTCACCAAAAAAAAAAGAATGCGTCAAAAGAGGTGAAAAAAAGGCCCTAAACTGGATTATGAAAGAACTGAAGTTCAAGTATAAGTAGACATGGATTAAATAGCCGACATTCTGCTAACTGTTGCATCAGCACTATGATTTCCTTGATATTGCTACAGTACAGACAAACAATTTAACAAACTCCCCTTTGTGGTCTGGGGTACATTTTCTATGAGTACTTATATCCAAGAGTTGTCAACGGAAGACTGACAAAGCCATCTTTTATTCTGATTTTCATGTGGAGAGTGAGTTTTGGATGAGCACCTCCCCCTTTAGCCAAGTAAATTTATTTCATTGGTTATGTTAACAGATGTTAATTCATTCACAACATTTGCATAGCATTCAACTCACAAAAAAGGGGGGTTTTCCAGTTGTAGAGACAGCTGACAGATTCATTGTAAATTCCTGCGTGTGTGCTGGTCCTGCTTCTTTGCACTTTGGAGTGCAATTTCTTTCCATGATTATGAAAACTTTGGGTTTTTAGTGATTTATATTTGATTAACATATCAACTGCAAAATATATGAACAATGCCCGGCAAATGCTATATACAAAGTTCAAACACACACATATATACAACAAAAGACACAGTTTTTCTCTGGGCTTTTTCTTCACGAAGTAGCGCTTTATATATTAATTTATACGAGGTTCTCTTCTAACATGTTGAAGTGTCATCAAGACTTAAATATTTCCAGTCGGATAATAAAAAAGAAGAAGAGGAATTTGAGTATTAGGCAAGTTTCTTTTCGATGGGGTTTCCAGATTTAGGAGGAGGAGCGATTTGGACAGAGTCGGGGATCTGATGGTCCTCAAAAGCAGCCCCACAAATCTCGCTGATCTGATGGACGGTAGAAGAGGAGCTATAATTGAATTCGATCCCGACTGGGTCCTTTCGAATCGCGTCAATCATTGTTGCCGATTTAGTGACGATCGCATGTCCACATGGGGTACAGTAAGTTTCCTTGTTATATGGAGGTGAAGGGGAAACGATTATAAGCTTATCAGTCTAACTTTCTCTGATAGATCTGGTCTTCGTCTTCGAGATCCAAAATTTTTACATACCTTTGGAACAGACATAAAAGCTCGATCCGCCTTGGTCAATTTACCGGTGATTAAGGAAACCACTTCTCCAAGAGTGATTTTTTCGCCGCTTTGGGATTCAACATCACCCAAGACCGAAGGTAGACAGTAGGTAGAATTTTGCTTGTACTGAGTGCAAAACATATCCCTGAATAATTCGCAGAGAAATTGAAGATAAAGAGCAAGAACAGGGAGTTAATTCGAAGTGATCCAATATAATATCAATAAGAAAAAAAAAAAAAAAACAGCAGTCTACGCTTCAACTTACCTAGTGACATCGTAATGGGTTAGGATACTATACATGGCTACTGCC